CCCCACAGCCCAGATCTTGCTCTCAGTGAGTTTTGGTTGCTTGCAAAGTTCAGGGAGAATCTCGAGGGCAGACGTTTATAATACAAGGGGAAGATAAAGGAGACAATGACAAGTGTTCTGCAGACCTTTAAAACGCTTCAGCAATTGCATTGAAGTCAGATGATCTTACTTTGAAGGAGATTAATTTTGTACTTTGAAATTAATAAATGTTTCTCCTGAAAAAGTCTGAAAACATCTAGAAACCACGTCGTTGATGGCCTAGAGGTGGGAGTGTCCGACTAATGTCAAATTAGCCGGGTTTTGGTCACGGCTTGAAGCACTCGCAAGTTTAAACACACTGATGAACTATGACACAGTGAAACAGTCTGTGGATGCCTATATATGCGTCCTTTGAGCACTATGTATGAAAGGGAATTTGATTGCTGCATTTGATGATAAATGCTAAGTTCTTCACTATGAATTGAGCCCTCAGGTAGCCAGTGTTAAAAATTCTAGATCCTGGCTTCAGCAATCGCATGTTTACCACACTAATGAACTGTGACACAGAGAAAAAGTTTGTCTATGTATATATATATATATATATATATATATATAATCATCCACAGAGAGACTGTTTCGCAGTATCACATCTCTTCAGTATGGTTAGACGAGATCGAACCCAAAATCGATTTGGTATCAGTCAGAGATTCTACCCCTAGGCTATCGTCGCACAACATAGAGGAAGAGAAATTTTTAACGTTTTCTATGCGAAATACGTCAGTGGCTCGGTATATATATATATATATATATATATATATATATATATAATAACTGTGAATTTTTTTTTTTGTAAATGCGCATGAAACTTGGTCTGCTGATTCAGAATTTAACGTTATAATTGTAATTTAAAGAATATATTTTAGGTATTTTAAAACCTTGCTGTTATAGACATTTTAAAACATTTTTGCTATACTCATAATTAATCTTATTTAGTGTTGGTTGTAAGTTTCTTATATAGAGGGCTTCAAGAATTTGAAGTTTTTATATTTTATTTTCATGGTGGAGTATACTTGGATTGTCAATTCATATTTCTCTAAATCGTAAATGTTGAGAGGAATATATATATATATATATATATATATATATATATATATATATATATGTGTGTGTGTGTGTGTGTGTGTGTGTGTGTGTGTGTGTATTAAATGTAGTCAAATGTTCCTAGCAATCTTTTACGAAAAAAATTATAAAATTCATATTTTCAACCAGGGTTTTCGATATTTATCTATCTAGCAGACTGTTTCAGTCTGTTCATATCTATCTAAGAAATATCTTCTTAGCCTAATGAGGACCAAAGCATTCTGATAAAGCTTTTGTTGACAGTGTAGAAGTTTTCACATCGATAGTTTTATGAAATTATACATTGATAAATTCGTATTCTTATGATTAAAATTAACAAACAAAAAAATAATCGTTATTTTAAACATTATTTCACAACTTGCCAGACTGTCAAATTATTCATGAAACACACACACACACATATATATATATATTAAAAAGAAGAGAGACACCGCAAATGTTTTTGGTTGTAACGTGGATTTAAAAAAAAAATATTATGCTTTATTTTTCATAATTTTGCTACACGAGTTTCCGGTCTCGCGATCGTCATCAGGCAAAGAGAAGAGATTTTCACATATTATTAAAAATAATTAATCTTTTTCCTTATGTTTTTCGATCTTAAATATTATCGATATGAGACGTTCTCTTTTTTGGGTGTTAATTACCCAAATGTTTTTCTTGAAATGGCAGTGAAAAGTTCTGCGTGAAGGGTTATAAAACAATTAAGATTGGTCTGAAAAATGGTGAAAGAGTTATCGCAATTCTTATCTTGTAATGACCCCTGTGTGCGTATGTGTGTGTGTGTGTGTGTGTGTTTATGTACAAATGTGTTTACTGGTTCCTCGTGGTGAGACAGTGTGTATATATGGAGAGGGAATATACATATTAACCCGCATGCTGACAAAACACACGAAAATGGAAATAGATGTAAGAACAACATAAGAAAAGAATTAAGTATTCTTAATAATATGTGAAAATCTCCAGCCTTTGCCTGATGACGGTCATGAGACCGAAACCCGTGTAGCAAAATTATGAAAAATAAAGCATCATATTTAAAAAAAAAATCCACGTTATAAATAAAAACATTTTTTGGAACTTGGAACTCTTTTAATATATATATATATATATATATATATATATATATATATATATATATATATATATATATATATATATATATATATTGGCAGTTCTTCTTTTTCGTATTCAATATGAAATAATTGGTGGATTGGAGGTCCTAAAGTTCATTTCTCCATTTCATATAAATAATGGAGGCTACAAATCCGGTGTGATCTGAAATAGATCTAATAATTATTGCGGGTTTTAATTTGTTGTTATGGTGGGAATAGTAATTTATATTTATAAAACAAATAACGAATGAAATCTATCAGAGAAACTTAAATGCATTAACATATCTAGCAATAATAAGGAAATTTACATCACCTCCTCGGACAAAAGTTGTGGCATTGTTATAAATAGAAGCACAGAGAATGATAAAATTAAATTACTAATAGTCACGAAAATATACAACCGTATAAACTAATAGGTACCACACTAGAATACCCTAACTTTATTACTTACCTAAAACACACAAATTAGGTATCTATAGGTATGGCTAGATGCTAAATCTCTTTATACTTATGTGTCTGTTAACAAACGCTTATTTTTAAAAGGAATGTAGCACAGTCAAAAATAACAACAGTTAAAATCATAAAAAATTGCTGACTTATCCCAAAGTGTGTTTTTCACACTTAACAATAATTTTTATAAACCAAAATTCGGATTACCAATTGGTTCGTCTCTTGGTTGAGTCTTGGCTGATTATTTCTCAGAGTTTCTTGAATTTGGTTCTATCCAAATATTTTTCAGCTTGACGGCACTCCATGCTATAAAGCACTCAACAATATCTGGCTGACAAAAATATAACCGTATTAAAATTTTGATCAACATAAAGACCAGACATAAATATTATCAGGTAAATGTGGACAGAATTAAAGTTGTCATAATTAATTATGGCAAATATCAATTGATCCCAATAAATTATAAATTTTAAATCAAAGTTTGTTTAGCTTGCCATGATTTTCTGGCATCGATACAAGAATGCAACGACAATGAGACTGGTGTTTTCGCTTCTTACAGATAGTAAATATCCTTCCTACGCCGATGAAATGCTTGAAAGGATATGATATAAGTTTGAACTTAAGAGATCGACAGGATAGATGGCGCTACCGTCTTAGTGAGTGTCGTGAAGAGAAACCACTAAGGAAAGGAAATTGGTTCCAAGGGACACGACTTCACTAACATAAAATCATTTTATTTATTTATTTCCTGCCTAGGAATGTAGCCACTTTAACAATGAATGCATATTTCAACTAATTTTAAAGGACATTTCTGAATTTTGGTGTGAATTCTAGTAATTATAAATTCTTTTTATTTTGGGGTGAATTTATATTTTGGGGTGAATTGACAGAGATCCTACCCCTCCCCGCACACACACATATCTATCTATCTATCTATCTATCTATCTATCTATCTATCTATATATATATATATATATATATATATAGATAGGAACTGATCTACTTGACCTTCATACGTCGAATTCGACGGGAGAGTCGAGTATATATATATATATATATATATATATATATATATGTGTGTGTGTGTGTGTGTGTGTGTGTGTGGAATATACTCAATGTTAGGATGATATATACAAGGTCTAACAGGAAAATTGTTCATATCGTGTAAAAGCAAAATTGATCACTTTTTAGATTAAGATTTGAACTGTTGTGTCTTAAAAATGATTAAAGGTATTTTACTGGAATTCTCCGAGATTTTTATAACACTTTGGACTCTACTTTGAACAATAAGAACGTATTTAACTATAAATTAAAATGATGATCCCTCTTGCTGTTGTGAACACCTGATCTAGTTTTCCTCTGTATTGTTCCCTCTTTTTTAAACTTATGCACCGTTCTCTTGATGAATCTTGAATAGAATTTGAAGATGAAATCCAGAGTATGAATGCTGGTACCATTACTGAAGGCCTGAATAATCATTTTCCTCTCACCATTGCTCAGTTGGGAAGACATAGTGGGGCTGATACAGAATGTTTTCAACCTGTTCTGTTTCTAGGTGAATACCTCAAAGGGTCTTTCAGTGATTCTTACCACAAGTGCTGTCAAGATGGTTAAATTAAATTAGTTTAGTGGCTTTTTAGATATTAAACATTTTGTGGATGGACAGTTATCCCATGCTGTTAAAGAATTTTGAAAATTTTACTGTTACACTATATATATATATATATATATATATATATATATATATATATATATATATATATATATATATATAATGAATGTAATGAGAACAAAAATAATATAAATTCTAACGTTCATAGCATTAATTCAAAAGAGGGCTCAATACGAAGAGTAGGCCAATAATTATTTACTATAATTTTTACTTACGAACAAAAACTACTTGTTCACTACAGTAAATATATATATATATATACCAATGATGGGCATTCGTGCCTGCAAAAACGGTATGTCAAAAGGACGGTTTTTCCCTTGACATCGCTTATTTTTATTGTTTCAAAAAGCGATGTTTAGAATGTTAATAAAACTTAAACATATGAAAGTGAATTTATACATTTTCTTTGTTCTTGATATTTGTAAAAAAAAAACAAAAACAAAAAAAAAACAATATTTATTAGATTGTTTATTGGAATATTTGGCAAAGCATCGGCCAAACTGACAGTCGATTCGAACTTTATAAAATGGTAAATAATAATTATTTACATAAGTTATTCTTTATTATTCATTATTATTTGACATATTTGAAAAGCTTATTGAAACTCAATTCTTCAAGTTCCAATCCAGAGACGTCCAATGTCCCTTACAGCAACTATTCCCAAGCGGTCTCCCGTCGAGGTACTGATCAAGCTCGACGTTGCTTACATTCTGTGATCGTACGGGAACTGGTATTTCAACGTGATACGGCCGTAAACCGCCGGTTAAACTATATTTGCGTTTGTAAAATCTACGATATTGAAAGCATCTTCGAATAAGCATGTCTTTCTTCATCTGTGACATTTATTTACCATTCTTTTATCAGCGTTGACTTTCTACCGGGTGGAGAAGATCGTAAGAATCAACAAGAGACACATCAGAACGCGATCATGCAAGTGTAATGTCTTTTTTGATTTGATCGTGCCTGACTTGTTTCATTTGAATTGATCTCAGGTGAAGGTAGAGAAATTTGCAATGTTACAGGAACAGAAACGGTTTACAGAATTAAAAAATCAGCTTTCCAAATTGGAGATTTGCAAAAAGAAAGCACAACTTATAACCGAGATCAAGATCTTGAAAGTCTAAAACAAAAAGAAAAATTCTTTTACAATAAATAATGCAATGTATTAAAAAAAGATGAATGTGACCTGACTTTAGCGACAATTTTTCATCGCTTGGCAGTTACTCTTATCTATCTATCTATCTATCTATCTATATATCTAATTTTATTTCTATCTATCAATGTAAATATCTAATTTTATTCATATGTATGTATGTATACATGTATGTATCTATCTATCTATCTCTTTTTATTCATATCTATCTATCTATCTATCTATCTATCTATCTATCTATCTCTTTTTATTCATATCTATCTATTTTATTCATATCTATCTATCTATCTATTTATCTGTCTATCTATCTATCTAATTTTATTCATATCTCTCTATCTGTGTGTTTTATTCATATCTATTTATTTTATTCATATCTATCTATCTATCTATCTATCTATCTATCTATCTAATTTTAATTCTATCTATCAATCTAAATATCTAATTTTATTCATATGTATGTATGTATGTATGTATGTATCTGTCTATCTCTTTTTATTCATATCTATCTATCTATCTATCTATCTATCTATCTATCTATCTATCTATCTCTTTTTATTCATATCTATCTATTTTATTCATATCTATCTATCTATCTAATTTTATTCATATCTCTCTATCTGTGTGTTTTATTCATATCTATTTATTTTATTCATATCTATCTATCTATCTATCTATCTAATTTTATTTCTATCAATCTAAATATCTAATTTTATTCATATGTATGTATGTATGTATGTATCTATCTATCTCTTTTTATTCATATCTATCTATCTATCTATCTATCTATCTATCTATCTATCTATCTATCTATCTATCTCTTTTTATTCATATCTATTTTATTCATATCTATCTATCTATCTATCTATCTATCTATCTATCTATCTCAGTTCATGTATGTATCTGTCTTTTTAATTTTCTTCTTCATTCCTTCCCTCCGTCCTTTCTTGTCTTTTCTTTCTTTCTTTCTTTCTTTCTTTCTTTCTTTCTTTCTTTCAATACTATTTTCTCAGCTCCTTTCTTTCCATAGCTTCCCCATCTCAGTTTATTTTTTTGTTTTCCTGTTTTCTTCCATCTTATATTCGAAACTTTTCATTTCTTTCCTATTTTACCCCCCCATCTACTTCAGCCTTCGTTTCCTCTTTTTATCAGATCCCAGCTTCCTTTCATTTTAACCTTTCATCTTTCCCCTCATCCCCGAAATACCTTCTTCCTTTCCCTGACATTTTAATATATCACAACTCCATCTTCAATTGCCTTCTATTTCTCTTTCTTATATATTTGTTCCCGCCTTAACTTTCACTTTCACTTTCACTTTCACTTTCTATGATTCATTTTATACGTTTGGTTTTCCTTTATTCTTGTCTTCGAAAATGCCTTCTTCTTTCATCTTTGCGTATTATCTATTTTCTCTTCCCTTTATGCCCTTTTCGACCGGTATTCGTTTTTGCTGTTTGCTTGCTCACGTTACATCGCTTCCTTCTCCAACTGAGAAAATGGCCCAGCAAGTCTACGAAGCTGCTTCATCTTTCTTTTCTAGCAATCAATCTATTTACCATCCCTTCCCTTCAATCTCTTGTCCAATGGGCTGTTGACTAACGTTGATTACGGACAAATGACCGGATGGATCCCGGAATCAATGGGCAACCATAGTGAACGCGCTGAAGCGCTTAGGTCAACCCATGGAGGATCAGTGATTAGAAGATCTCTGGTCGCCATAAACGCCAGTCACCATGGTGATGACAACTGTCGACAGAAAGGACGTAGTCATCTTTGGCTTTCTCTTTCTCGTTATTTTTGTATATTACATCTTTTAAAGTGTGCAGAAAATTGTTGAGCTGACAGCTCAATGTCGTAGTGGGTGCAAAGCAATGATTAAATAAATAGCAATGAATCGTTAAACCAAATATCCCGTTTTACTGTCATTTTCCCTCTTCATCTTGGGGATTGGGTATGAGCATGTGGAATAAAATATCAGAACTTTCCACAGTATCTTCGTCGACTTCAGTAATACTGCGGTCCAGACAGATCTCGCCCAAATCTTCAAATCACACAATACCAATTCTAGTTTACCATTTTTATTTTGTTTTACGATTTAATGCTGTAAGTATTCCAATTTGTATTGACTCATCCGTAAATTCATGTTTCTTCTGTTTCTACGTTCTCGGGCGAAGTCCTGTTCTATTCATATCTAGATTCGCGGCTCTTCTTCTTTGGTGGTGAGTGCGTGGAGTTAATCTGATTCTTAAAACTCCAGATCATTCTGTATTTTTTAGGATAGCCTTAGATCTAAATCGAACGCAAGTCATTTGCACTGTTCACGGTGTATGGACGTTCATAATTTATCCTAGCTATTGTTTTTTTTTTATACACGAAGGTCTACTGAAATATTCTCGATCTGATCCAAAGGGATTAGGAATATTTCTACTGTTAATGAACTTATGTTGGAATATATCTGGGCCGCCACCGAGTAGCTTGGTTCCATATTGTAAGTAGAGGCCGAATCATTTTTCATGCTTTATGGATAATATCAAATTCAATGGAAAGTGCTCAGCCAAACTACGGTCATTAGTTCCTACAGTTCTAATCTTCACGGCTAAGACCCACTATGTCACACACATTGTATGAAACCACCCTCATTCCCTTCGTATTTCCCTGATGAGATGTAAGTTCCACTCCAGTAGCATCTTCCCACGAACCGCTGCTCTGGAACCGATACACAAGAGAGCGTTTTCTTGATCTGCATAATCTTAAGCTGTTCAAGTCTAAGATTAACCGTTATCTTCTCCACATATCCGCATAATTCGTGACTCTTACTCTGTAACCCTCTACCTTGAGTGGCTCCCGGGCATGCACCATTGGACAACCTGGAGCATAGAATTTAAACTTAAAATTAATAATTTCTAATGTTCCTGCTGAGGATACTGCAGTTGCTGTCAGTCTTGTCTGAATTCATCTTCTCTTTTCTTACTGCTGCTGAAGGTGTTTTGGAAGCCTTGCTGTCATTTTTTTTTCTTTATTAATGGCTCACATATGATAATGATTTCTATACCGGGCCTATTGAGGTGGCTTTCATTTCCTCGCGTATTCGCTGATTTCTTCGAACATTCATACAGGTAGTGGAATGTATAAATAGTGTCAATATTGATAACTTTCCATCGTAGAAATTCAAGATAAATCATCTTCCTTCTCAATCTTGTTATTTCCCTTTTGTGGGAAGAACATATGTAACCGCATCGTAAAGGCTTCTTGGCTGATTTCGTAGGCATTTGTGAGTCACCCACCATCATATTACTAATATTGTTTTTTCCTTTCTCTCTTTCGGGTTGCTATCATCTCAACTACATCGAATGGTTATTCAAAATAATGGCAGTATCTGTCTACTTGTTGTTATTCACAGCAGTAGTAGGGCTGCCACTGCGGAGCCTAACACTAAGATCAGTTTTTCATTTCTTTGTAGGACTGACATAAACATTAGTATGCAATTTGTTTACTGTGCATACAACTAGTGCTGCATTTCCTATAAATATTAATTATACTATCGTGAAGCGTTAAAAAGTGTTCTTCTTCAGCAAACAGAAATTATTTGCTTTTGACATTATTTCTAGAGAGCTACCAATTTTGAAACAGAATTGTGGGTAGGCTTCCATTAACTCCATTGTTCATCGCTAAAAAAAAAATAAATAAAAATCTTCGGAAATCTGATGAATATTTAAAAAATATATATTAGAACATGTATTATTTTTTGACCAATTTTCGTATTTCTCTTACTAGAAGAGATTGTTATTCTAGGGATGTAGCTAGCGTTGCTATGAAGTTGTGGATTTCACGCGGGTAGGTAATTTGTTATTATAGTCCAGTACTGGACGAAACTTTTCTGAGTAAATATTTGTTTCGGGCGTCAACGAAAGTGCTATAGTTACCCGGATAGCTTTGTATTGCAGGTGCTCGTGTTTTGAACGAGGCACACTTAATTTGGCCTTGTGCGGGGACTAAGTTTAGCAAATAGAGTCAAAAATAGCTGCAGGTGTGGAAATATAAAAATAACGGAGTTATGATTCATGAAAAAATTTAAAAAAAAAACAAAAAAACAATGTTTCTTGCTATTATTCTAGTACTTAAGAAGTAATTTTGAAGTTTTTTTTTATTCTTGGACGGAAATATTAATTTTAAACTGTAGAGTATAAAAGAAAGAAAAAAATATTTAAAAAAGTAACCATAAACGTCTCAAGAAAGAAACAGAATTCGACACGAAAACTCAATTTATTCTATAGAGATATATAAAAGACACGAAAGATGGATCGATAGAATTAGAATGGAGAGAGAAAAAAAATTCTGTTCACATTTGTTTTTTACCGAAAAAAAACAGTTCCAGGAGATAGTTAATAAGATAAGTGTGGCACAGGGTCTAAAGCAGAATTAAATATATTCCAATTCCCTATATTAAAAATGGCTTTCAAGAGTCTTTTCTAAATTATCAAATTGAGTTTTTTTTTTCAAAATTAACATTAAAACGGGATGACTCGCTTCAAATAAGCTGATGATCGAAATAGATAAACAAATATTAGAAGCTACATATTTTTTGTCAAGAAGATCCATATTTGA